AGAGAAGCACCTTTTAAAAAGGGACTTGCTTCACAAAGAGACAGTTGTGCACTTTTACTAAGTTTAGCTATACTACATCCTATACTTTGTGTATGAGGGGAGAGCACTGGATCTCATATACCTCAGTGGTAGCAAGGCTTTCGGCACTGTCTCCCACAATATTCTTGCATCTAGGTTAGAATATTATGGTCTGGATGACAGGACAATTAGATGGGTCAAAGTCTAGCTGGATGATTGAGCTGGAAGCATAGGCCAACAGAAGCCTTATGAAATTTAGCAAGGACAAATGTGGAGTCCCATATCTGTCAAGGGGTAACCCTTGCAGCAGTACAGGCTGGGGGCTGACTGAGTGGCTGGGATCAGCTCTGCTAGAAGGAACCTGGGCACCTTGGCAGGCAGCAAGAAGAGCACAAGCTGTCAGTGTTCCCTGGCAGCAAAAGACCAAAAACATGGGGGGGCTGTATTGACAGGAGCATAGCTGGTCAAGTGAGGAAAGTCATTGCTCCCCTTTACTCAGCGCTTGTTAAACCACATCTGGAGCACTGTGCCCTATTTTGGGCCCCCATAATACAGGAAAGATATTGGCCAACTGTAGCTAGTTGAGCTGGGGGCTACAGAGGTGTTTGGGCGGCAGTGCAGGCTGTGTCAGCAGTGGCTGAGGGAGCCTACTTTGAGAAAGAGGTTGGACTAGAGATCTCCTGACATCCCTTCCAACCTGAATAATCCTGTGATTCTGGTAAAAGTCATTACTGAGATGTTTAGTTTTTATACCAATGTCTCAATTTAAAATAAAATTATTTTATCTAAGAAGTAAGTCTTTCTCCTTTACCCTAGTTTTTGTTTTTATCTTAGTAAAGGTAAAGAAGACTCTTAGCCAAAAATTGCATTTTTACATACAGAATATTAAAACATGCAAATCTTTTATTCATGGTGTGGAACTACATGTAAGAACCAGGTTTCTGTAAGATAATAGCTTTAAAAAGGAATGAAAAAACATTTTCTTTATGCCTAAAACATCAGAAAGTAATGCTGGCACAAATCCATTCTTGGCAATACTTATCTCTAGGCCTAACAGAAACCCTGAAAGATGTCTTTGATTATTTTCACTTTTAAATGTAACCTATAGTTAAACTTGCAGGAGATCACTGTTCAAATTTTGAATTCACATGAAATCTCTTTGAAGTGTGTATGCTCAGTTAAAAGAAAGAATTGTAGAAAAGAGATCCATATTGGACTGGATGAAAGAGAAGGTCTACAGGTATGTGGCCATGACTTACTGTGTAATGTGTCTGAGGCAGTTAAAATGGTTTTTAGAGGCAAAGATGCTTGGATTTGGGATGAGTTGCTGAGGTGAAAATAGAATGATACCCGAAGAAAGGATTAGGAGCAGAAGGGCTTAGATATAAGAACCAGTACCTGCTTGAGCAGAGAGAAAGTTTTAGCAGTCCCCTTCTGTCAGCAGAGTGTCCTTTAATCTTATGGTGTATTGTGCTATTTTTAATTATCTGTTGCAATCCTGTAATTATTAACTGTAATTTTATACAAATCAAATACATGAACCTGTCTAAATTCATTAAATACTGAACTGGCCTTTCCTTCATTTCAGATAGTTCAACACACTCTGATCTTGCATGGGCGGGAGGGTTGCGTTTAGTGGTGCTGGGGTTTTCGCTTACTACTGGAGGTTTATTTTTAACTTCTGAGTATTAAGCTGAAACTTGTGATGTATTGCCAGTGTCTTTACTATCAGCCATGTAATTAAAAGTAATTTGAAGTGAGATCTGTTTGAATTCAAGCTACTCAACTTCAAGTCATTAATGTTACAGAAATTAAGTGCATTTACACATTGGCACATCTGGATAAATTCAGTAGTCTTCTTTACAGCATGTCCCCACAAAGTCGTTTTATCACAGCTATCAAGAGAACAAACCACAGGAGAACTGTAGTGCTGCACTGTGTGGCTGCAGCCTTCCACTTACGGCCTTAATATTGATGATTAAATAGCAGACCCCATTTTCTAACGTGGCAAGATGAACCTATTCCTTTGTTATTTAAACTTATTTCTCTCTTGAGCCTGAGAATCAGGAATTGGTCATAGGTGAAGATCTAGATATTAGTTATGAGAAACAAGAGATTCTCTTTTAGATCTGTGGTAAGTTGCTTCCTCACATTGTAATCTTAGTTACACAGAAAATGAGTGCATCCTAGATAAATAGGTAAGAAGGGTATCTTTGGGCTTAAAACTAAAGTTATAAAAAAACTCCAGAAACTGAAAGCTGATGCAAAAATTCATTAAAGCATTTACAACATGAATTAATCGCCAAAAATTGGCCTTAACCAAGTTTCATATTAGAGTGGCTACTTGAGTGACTAAGAAGATGACACGTATATTTCAGGACCAAAATCAAAAAGACTACTTGCACCATACAACAAATTTTATCAATTCAAGCAGAGGTTGGGAGCCAGTGATTTGCAGAGATCAAATGACCTGCAGGAAGCTCCAGCCTGGAGCACTGAATGCCTCGTAACTGTTTCATTCATTGCATTACTTGTGGTTTTTTTTTTTATCTGAAGTAGAACTGATCCCAAGTTGCAAAATTTTGATAGTAAGTACAGCAAGTACCATATTTTGAGTACAGAGTTTGAATATCTTTTTCATTTTTAAGAGAAACCAAACAGTTAAACTTCTCTTTTAAATATGAAAAGTAGAAGAAAAGATTTGCTTTTATATTCTAAAATTGTGAGAATATTTATTACATGTATTATATTTATTGCATCTTATTCCTTCATTACATACTTATGCCTTTACAGAAACTCTTAAGTAAGAAGATGTAGTGTCCTTTTCAAATATTTAGATCCACCTATTTACTATTAATTTCATTCTCTGCCATGATCATCCTATTCCTGGAAAGGTGAAATTCAGCTGGGGTGACAGAGGTGTGCTGTGTAGTACCAGATGGATCAGGTTTGATCGCTGTTTGGCTAGAGATGTCTGACTGCATGTGATTAGATTGGGTACCAACTTTTGAAGAGACAAATACTAGTTTCTACAAAAATTAAGTAATTACCTTTCACTTTTAATCTTTTTTGTTGCATCTGTGATATAAAATGCCCAAAGTGGTCAGATTTGTATCGTCAATAACTTTTCTATAAGCAAACATTTAAAACAAATTCCTAGAATTGGAGTCTCTCCTTTGGCTTGTCTTGTTTTAAAATGTTGGAGTTTCTCAGATTAGGAAGCAAAATACTTAACATCTTACCTCAGAAACCTCTGTCTCAAAACCCAGGTTTATGAAACCAATGAAAAAATGATATGCTATACATTTGTAATTTGTACATGTAACCATTTTACATTGTATTTGCTTCTTAAATATGCTTTTTAGCATTCTGTTTATTACAACCAAACAAAATTCTGAGTCGTTCCCTCTATTGGCTTTGGAGAAGCAATCACTCAGCCTAGAACTGCCTTCTACTTCAGCTTTCAAAAAAGAAATTGAGTACAATGCAAAAAAAATTATCTTTCACATGCATATGTATCTGTGATTCAAAGACATTAGCCTTTATGCCCAATGGTTTTGGCAGAGTGAAACTGAAAAGGCCAGTTTCAATGGGATAGTTATTTTTAATGTTGCACAGCATCTGATGCTTTTAAGACACTTTAAGCTTTGATTAAAGACGTATTTTTGCTATCCTGTCTCATAGTGATGGGTGGGATATTCATCCTGCTACGCTGCTAAATGCCTTGAAAGCAATCTGGTGGTATACTGAGTTCCAACCTCATTGTAACCCTGTTTATCACAAGGATATCTCCTGTCTGATGAGGCTTATTTCCCTTGACCCCCTGTCTAGGCTATGGTAGAAACAATTCACAGCCTACAACTAATAAAGAATATAGAGATACAATGCAATGATTCAGGTTTTTGTGGTAACGCTGTGTAACAACATGCTTACCTGCCTTACTTGCAGCCACTTGTTTCCAGTTTGACAAGTACAACTGTGTGTGTGGCTGCTGTTTATCTGAACCAGCAGAATGACCAGGTTTAAGTTTCTAAATACCCTTTTTTTATTCTATGAAGTACTAACAAACTTTACATTGAATCAGGCTTGGGAGAAGCGTCTTACCAGTAATAGGCTGGCACTATTTCAATGAAGTTTTATTTTTAAAGATTGGGGATGTAAAACAATGTTAGTGGCAGATTTTGAAGGTACCCATGTGAGCTACATGCTGGAATCTAGTTCAGTTCCGGTGTTCCTTCTGCACTTAACCACCATTTGCCTCTTTGAAAACTCGCTGGAGCTTCTAAACCCACAACCAGGGATGTTGTCACTGGCTCAGGAAGACTGTTCCATAGCTTCAGTTGGATCTGTGGACTGTTGAGTATAAAACAAAACCTTTTTAAAATTATTAGTGTTAGTGTAAGATTTTGCTTTTCTGGAGACTGGCGCTAGCAAGCAGGAAGCATTACATACTTACAAGCAAAGTAATTAAAGCTTCACTTCTGTTTACTTCTGAAAGTTACATTCTTATTATGTTTACTATTTCCATTTCCTTTCTATTTAGACAAGCAATCTATGAAGTAATCACTAAGCCAATCAAATATACAGTATAGGGCTGACTTGATGAGATGAATTGAATACTGCAAGAGGTCAAAGTTTGTAGCAAGAGACTGTTCCCTGATCTGGTTGAGGAGGTTAACTACAGTTTTCTACCATTTGCAGGCATCACAACTTCTTGTTAGGGTTAAAGCCTGAACTTAGAACCTTAGTTGGCCAACTTTTCTTCAGCATTGTGTTAAATAAGATCTCACCTCTCTTCTTCTAGGTGGAATAAAGGTGCACCAAAACAGTGTCATAATTTATGATCTCAGTTTGAAGATAAGAAGGAAACTTTTGCTTTTTTTATAGTGTAAACTGAATGCATAATAGATAAAATAAGTTTACAGATTTTTTCAAGTGAAGTTGTATGAGAGTTTCTTAATGTACTTTTTGTTTCTTTGCAGCTATTGGCTGACAAACAAAGTCCACATTAAACGACCTAGCACTGGCCTCCTCATGTATACACTTGCCACCAGATTTTGTGATGAAATTCACCTGTATGGATTTTGGCCATTCCCAAAGGATTTACATGGAAAACCAGTCAAGTATCATTATTATGATGATCTGAAGTATCGGTACTTTTCTAATGCCAGTCCTCATAGGATGCCATTAGAGTTTAAAACGTTGTATGTATTACATAACAGAGGAGCACTTAAATTAACAACAGGGAAATGCGTACAGCAATAAAGCACATGTAAAATACAATAAGAAGTACAGAATACACACTTCATCATAATGATGTTGTGGAATGGCAATGGGATCCCAGTGAGGATATGTTTCAATACCCACTAAGCCATCCGAAAAAGGAATTTTATCAGAAGTACATAACCAGCTATTATGCCTGTAAAGTGCTATATAACTTAAGCTATCCTGACTGCAAGGGTTCAAGTAAGTGCCACTTTCACTAAGAAAAAAGCTTGAATGTATACTCAGTAGTGTTTACAGGAACCAATGACACCTTCATCATGAATTAAAGAAGAAAAATATAGCCTGCTTACTGCTGACTTGCCATTGTGGTCAGACAGCCCACAGAAGAAATCCCCAGTGGGTGGAATATTCACTTCAGCAAATAAACCAGGCTTTGGCAGAAAATACCATGATGGAATTGAGTAGAGAAAGTGAAATCCATAAGATCAAACAAATCAGTAAATGCCTTCATTCAGAGGACTGTTTCTGATCTTGTATTATAACCTCAGCTTTTGTTTTGTTGCTCGTTTCCTTATTGTTGTTGGTTGGGTTTTGTTGCTTTTGAGTATTGGAGCCCTTAAAGGATTTTGAGGATGTTATGAATAATTAAAAGTATCTTACAGAATTGTCTTAGGAAAAAAAAATTTATAAGGGTGGGAGGGTGGCGGGAAACATCAAATATTTTATCGATTGTTAATGTGTTGAATCCTGCTGTCACACAACCCTTAACATTCCAATTGTTTTTCTAGCTATTGCTGTCAATACCCACTACATGGAATGACTCAGAAGTCATTTTGATCTATTTTCAAAGAGAAGTTTTTCTGTTGTGTTCAAAGACATAAAAGAAGGTGCCCTTATTTTTGGTACCAAAGATTACTCTTACACATTAGTCTTTCCTTGAAGAAATGGTGTAGATTTAGCATGTTTCTTTGCTGCTGAAGCGCACATATTCTTTATGCTATTAAAATTTTTGAATTAAGCATCTCAAAGCAAAGCCTATTTACATACTTTGCATATAGAATTTCATTCTTCAGAAAGATCTGCAGGAGTAAAGAAATTATTTCATACATATATATACAATTTTTATTCCTGATTCAAAGTAAAGCACAAAATCTAAAGGAACTCAGGTGACATTGGAACATGTCTAAAGAAAAAAAAAAAGACCTAGACAATTAAATGGAAAATAAAAGAACTTTAGATTAAACAGTTCTTTAAAACTTAACTTTCTAATTGTGTTGGATGATATCTATCTCTAATATACCTCTTTTGTATCAGCATGATGTTCTGATTTGTAAATGAGTGAAATAACACAGAGCTGCATTATCTCACAGTGATTTTTCTGAACATCAGTCTTGTTTATCGACGAAACTAAGAATTCTTTCACTCCCTTCTTTCAAAAAAGAGAAATTACAGAGGGTAGGACAGGGTGGAGTGTCAGTACAGCATATACTAAGATACAAAACCTGTCTGCATATGTATTTTAGTGTTAATGGAGCAGGTAAATTAAGAACACCATGGTTCCTCCGTTTTCATGTCAGGCTAAGCTAAAGAGGAGGCATGCAGATACAATGTACGGGTATTTTCTTGTTATGTTTTCAGCGCTACATGAGGCCCTCATCTCCAAATGTGACAGTCGGTGAATCTATTGAATTTTGAACTAGCTCGAGCAATTTCATATGTAGCACAACACTCACAAACATTTACTAGCTAAAAGTGCCATTTATTACCCATTTTTCCTCTTAAGTTCATCCTGCATGACTAGAGGTCTGTAATTATGCAAATTTAGTAGCTAAATCACTGCCTTGCAGACAGTTTTGCCAAAAGTTGATGGGAAATAGAAAGTCATTCTGCTATATCTAAGACATAGCAGCATCTTTCCTTATTCACCAGTCTCTCCTACCCAGGACTGTTTACTTTGGCTATCTGCTAAGGTGTGGAATGTGGTCATAACATGATCACCACTGAAGCCAAGGCATCACAAGGAACTAAACAGCCATAGAGACTGGAATGTGTTTAATTTGTTGTTGATAACCCCAAGGGTATTATTTGTACACTGTGTAAACTTGCAGACAAGTTAAACTTTAAGACAAGGCTATTTTCTTGATGAAAGGTGGGCGTATTCCTGTTCTTTCTGTTAGGGTTTTGCTGCTGTTGATCTTTTAAAACATATTTCATATACATGGACAGAATTTCTATTGAGATAAGAAATTGCATGTGCCAGTCTCACAGAAGCTCAGAGAAGCATCTGTTCAGCTTTATCTTTTCTTCTGGGAATGTCTTTTCTTCTCTTTAGTGTCAGTCCATCAACAAAAAAGGAATTCAAGTAGACTAAAATATTAACTGTCAGATGATATTTTTCACCTCAGGGACGGTTTTAATGCACCAATTGATTATTTCTCTGAGAACAAAGTAGATGATGACACTCTTAATTCCTACGGTAGTAAAAAAAAAAAAAAAACAACTTGTGTACTTGAAAACAATGAGACATAAATAGGAAGACAGCTGAGAAAGTTTTTCTTTAGAAGTCAGCAGATGAAGAAAAACTTGGCATAAGCCTGTTTTGCAGCCTTCCTATTTGATTCTCTGTGAGTGAAGTTAACTTCAGTACACAAACCATGGAGTCCAGATTTTTACCTGATCACTAAATCTGATAGAACAGGGTGATACAGGGCAAGGTTTCTCCAACTTGGTTTGGCACAAGATGTGACAGTAGCACCTACTTGCAAGACAACAGAGTTTGCCCTTCTCCAAGCTGAACCTTAACCTCATCTCCCGCAGACTTTCCACCTTCAATACTGCACTCTACTGGCACCATGAGCCATGGTCTCATGGCTCTCTACTGTCATCCACACTCATCCTTCTCATAGCACCCTCCCCTCAAATTGGCACCCAGGTGTGTCTCCCTAACAAAAGCATAGGACTCCTCACTAACCTGCCTCAGCTTTTATCCTGAGCTGAAGTGTAATGTAGCGAGTGGTATGTTTCAAACCATCCTCTGAGGCAAGCAGCAGTTGTAGTCTTTGACCATGCAGATTTTCACAAGCACTAGAAGTCATTTTACTCTACTGCTTTTGTATAAGATCAGTGTCCATGTGGAGCCCAAAGCTTCTGGGGCTCCCGGGTGTGTGGTTTGTTGTGCTGCAAATTGTCTGGTTTGAGGTGGTTTGTGACCACATTACTGGTTACTCTAAGGTGACATGAGATGAGATATGCCCAGAGCTTTTCCTCTTAGGTTAAATGGCCTCGGTTGTTAGCCATCCCACTGCTGGGAAGATGTAGCAGCGGACTCATGGCAGATACCCTTTTCTTACCTTTCCTTCATACCTCCATGGTCTGTATTGCCCTGGGCCTCTTCGTGCATTTCTATTGAGGCACCCCAGGTTTTGAATGAAAAAAAACCAAATTGCTTCCACTGTGTTACTCTTTATCCCTATAGGTGACCTGGAGCATAGCCCCAAAGGCTTAGCTGCTGTATAGGGACTTTACAGTGGAATAAATTTCGCTTTGTGGTCCTTCATTGGGCAGCAGTCAACAGCTCAAGCCTCCATAGTTGCCTTGGACGATTTGTTTATATACATTCACACCTCCTGTGCTGCTTACAGCACAGATCAAATAAACAGCCTTTATTATAATTAGCACTCTTATCATCCAACACTATCAACAACTAATACAAAGTAGATAGATAGGATAAAATGAAGAAGGATCCCTAATATTGTAATGAAATTTGCCCTGATGAGGAACAACTGAGAAATGCACATCAGTTGAGTGTTCCTCAAATTTATTCTCACATCAGTCATATCAATTGCCAGCTATGGTTCCTAAGAATGTTAAAAATAAGAACTGGGAGCTACATCAAGACAGCAGACAGAGTAGATTTTTCCAAATCTAATGAGAGCTTTACATTGCACAACCTGATTTCATTCAGATAAATTTATTGTAAATTGTTTATTAACGTACAAGTTAATGTTTCTGTGGCAGTCTTTCATAAAAAGTAATAGATAAATATATTTGACTGTTAAGTTTTCAGCTTTGGGACAGTTCTCTCTCCCACAGCTCTGAGCCACTCTCCAGATATAAGATCTTTCTCTAATTGACTGCAATTTGAAGAAAAACAGGTGTGAGTTCAGTACCTTTTTTTTAGTGTTTGATCTAGCAAAGTGCTGAGCACTCTTTACAGTGACTTTCCTGGGAGAGATGTGTCCAGGATCAAGATGGGGATCTAGATTAGCATATTTCAGGATATAACTCTGAAATTGCACATTATTTATTTATAAGAGCACTGTTACTTTCTGTCGGGAAAGCACAATTGTTCTAAATATAGATAAAACAAAGGAAGAGAGTTTACAGAGAGCTTCATTCCTGCACAGTACTATTGCTACTGAGCATATGTAATACAATTTCTGTGGTTTAAAGTATTGATATGTATTCTGTCAGGATTGTCATGCTTGACACTGTTAATACTATCTCAAGTACAGCTATGGGGATTGTTTTTTATTTGTATAACTGTAAAATAAAGACCTTTTTTCATTTTTTTCCTCTATATTCTGTTCCATATGCCTTTGTAACACGACTGTGATAATATTTTTCAATTATATGGTCATTGTAAGGATATGTGAAAGGAGTGTCTGCTTCTTTAAAGCGTCTGGTCAAGGACTTTCTCATCACAAAAGGGGATATTAAGAAAAGGAGGAAGCATAAACTGAACACAGACAGACACAAATGTGAGATGAGAACCAAAACTGAGCAGTTTCACTAACTGGTAAAAATAAGTGTAGTGTAGGAATGTTTATTTTTAAGTAAGATTATCTGATCAAGGACCTTGTCAAATTGGATACTATGGAAAAGGGGGAAGCAATAAAGTATATGGAGACGCAAACCTGACAGACAAATCATAATGGAGACAACGTCAAGAAGCGAACCTTGTCAGGCACACTAACTGAACAGCTAACAAGAAACTGCAGGCAAACAGGACTTTCTCACTGACAAAGTTGCAGACCTGA